CCTTGCTCCCCACGCTGCCTGGGGACATTCTGGGGAAATGGGAGAGCACGTTCTTTGCATCTAGGAGGTAAAGGCCAGGGATGCTGTCAACTCTCCTCCAGCGCCAAGACTGCTCCTACTACAGTTCATTTATTCAAATGTGGACAGTGTTGTGCTGATGGGGAGAAACACTGCTACTGGGGCCCAGAAGGTTGGCCAGCGAAATGAAAATTCCAGAAGACATCTTGACGGAGAAGGCAAAAGCTAATTAATGTGGCTCCTTCCGTTTCTCCCTCCTAACATGAAAGGAAATCAAGCTCCCAAGCTCCCTTTGTGTCTACTTTTGAGGACTTCATTTCTGCCAAGGCCCCCCTTGTACATCTCAATCTTGCTGACAACCTCAGAATTTCATCTCTTCACCATTGGCTCATCCCCTAAGCCCGCCGTCTTCTTCACCCCATCCTCCCTGTGATTCAGAGAGGCTGGTTTCCTACTTTAGAAACACCTCTCACCCAGAGAACAAAATAAATATTTCTGAGCCCATACTGACATAAATAAATGATGGGATAGAGAAATGAATGGAGAAGGGAAAAAATTCTATGTTATAAACATGGAAGGATTGAGATAAATAGATGAAAGAAGTAGGATCCACTGATAAAAGTTAAAATTAACTGGCAAACTAGGGAGTGAACAGGATCCTGGCCTAGGCTTGAAGCATTTCTCCAAAAATATGTATGCATGACTGGGGTGGTTTTAGCTTCGTCTAGAAATCCTTCAGTAGTCCTCCCTCTAGGAGGTAAAGCTTAATTACTCTTGCCTTAATGTTAGCTGGGTTGAATGACTCACTTCTAATGAACAGAGTGTGGAAAGGGAAATTAGTGACAGTGTCACAGTGGACAACTGTGACAGTGGGTAACCAAGCAATCAAGGTTAGCTTCAACAGAGACGTCAAACTGAGATCACATACAACCTGATATTATGGGTTGAGGACTATGGGGGTATTTTTTCCCAAACCCAGACTCTAGTCTGATGATCAGAAAACATCAAACAAATGCATTTTGAAGGGTATTCTGCAAACACCCAACCAGTATGAATCAACAATGTCAAAGTTATTAAAAAGAAGAAAAGACAAAAACATTGTCAAAGTTTGGAGACACTACAGAGATGTGATGATTAAATGCAATTTGATATAGTAATAAGATCCTGGAATGGAGAAAGGACACTCTGGAAAAACTGATGAAATCTGAATAAAATCTGGACTTGATAGTATGATACTAATGTTAAATTTCTTGGTTCTGATGCTTGTATCATAATTACTCATGATATTAACATTAAAGGAAGCTAAATAAAAGGTTATATAGGAGTTCTCTGTATAATCTTTGCAACGCCTCTGTAAATCTAAAATTACTTTAAAAGAAAAAAGAAAAAAAAACTCATATTGATGACAAGTCTTCTTATCATCATCAAAAACTGGAAACAACAAGTGGTAAATGAGTAAATGGATTGTGGTATATCCATTCAGAGAAATACTATTGAGCAATAAAAAGGCACAAACTACCAAGACATTCAGTAGCTGCTTAGATCATTGTCTGCTTGGAGCTGGGGGTAGGGAGAGAGAATGATGAAATGTTCTAGATCTTGATGGTGGAGTGGTCATGTGACTATATATTTGTTAGAACTCATCAAGTTGTACACTTAAGATCAGGAATTAGCTTAAAATCAGTATAAATTGTATGGCAATGAGGGCTAATTTTTTTTTTTAATCTCTCAATCCTGTTGTTGCTTTGTTCTGTTCCCCTTATTCTTGGTGGCTTTTTTTCTACTTTATTTTTCTGGGGCTTCCTCTATGTCCCTAAACATGGGATACAGACAGTGAACCAGAGAAGAAGGAGGCAATGTGCTAATTCCATGGAGGAACCCTGGGTCCAGGCTTAAGCAGAATCTCTCAACAAGGCACAGCAGAGAGGCGAGGTCCCAGCAGGCCCCAGCTGTCTGCAATGGGTGCCCACCCTGACTTCCACTCCCACGGGTTGAATGTTGCCAATAGAGTCGGGGAAGTCTGCCTGAGTGTGCCAGGGTCCCGGCCAGCCTCGGGATACTGTTGGTAACCAGATCAGTGCTTTTCACTCTTCCACAGGCAGGCGGGTCCTGGGTAGCTTGTTAGATGCGGAGCCTGACACTTCAGGCTGGGGGGCTGCGGAGTCTGTGCTTCTAACAGGCCGTGGGTGATGCAGTGCTGATGGCTGGAGCCCCACAACTGGAGTCCAGGATGGAGAACACAGGCATGTGCAGTGTGCGCTGAAAGGCAGGAAGGTTGCATAGGCCACAGGGGCATCTACATGTTTACAGGGTCAATGAGGTGTCCCCCAAAAGCTCATGTGTGAGACAAGCAAGAAAGTTCAGAGGTGAAATGATTAGATGATGTGAGTCATCTAATCATTAATTAAATCCTAGATAGCAATTAAATGGATGGTAACTGAAGGCAGGTAAGGTGTGGCTGCAGGAGGCAGGTCACTGAGGGCATGCTTTGGGTTTATATTTTTGTCCCTGGTGAGTCCAGTGCGCTCTCTGCTTCCTGTGGCCATGTCCTGGGCTGCTCCTCAGAGCAACAGAGTTGGCCGTCCATGGATTGAGACCTCTGAAACTGTGAGCACCAAATAAAATTTTCCTCCTCTAAAATTGTTCTTGTCAGATTTTTGGTCACAGAGACTAAAACACTTTCTTTGGGAAGGGAGTCCTCACAGACTGTAGAGTCATCCTGGGGCACCTGCAGGGATGGGCCCAATGGCAGTGTTGGAGGAACAAACTACTAATATGGTCTCATCATAGTCACTACCATCTTAAGGCCTGCAGGTGACAGGCCTGAGGGAAGGCTTGGTCCAAGTGGTCTCCCAGAGCCCAGCCTCTTTCCTCTCTTGGTCCTCTCCACAGGTTCTCAAGGAAGCCTCCTCGCCATTCCTGTGGCTTCACTATCGCCTGCCTAAGCAGCTCCCAGAGCTGGCCTGAAGCTGTGTCTCTGACCCCAGTGTTTCTAACAGCTGGAAGGTATCTCCAGCTCAGCTACTGAACCTGCAAATAACCGTGACCAAAACAAACCTGGCTTCTGTATTCTCTTCCCTAGCTGGGGGTTGTACCCAGCCATTTCTACAACTCTAAACAACCCTTCACTAAGTATTACCTGAAACCTAGACCAGTCACATTCCCCTCTCACTGCCTTCTGCAGTTTCTGTTTTAAAGGTTATTCCAGGCACAGTGAAATGTACATCAATGGGATTAGTTATCGATGTACATTTTCCTCACAGGCTAACATTGGACAGAGGCCTCTCTGCCTAATAGTCTTTGCCTCAGCACTGAGTCCAGGACCTGGCACACAGCATGATATGCAATGCACGCAATGACACCATCGGAATTAAGCTCATTTCTGACCCAATAGGAGCCTCTAAACATGAATAGTTAAGGACCAACTCAGCTGGGTATGGTGGTGCACGACTATAATACCAGATACTCCAGAGATTGAGGCAGGAGGATGGCGAGTTCAAGGGTAGCCTCAGAAACTTAGTGAGACCGTGTCTCAAAATAAAAATGTTTATTAAAAGGCCTGGGAGTGTAGCTCAGTGGTAGAGCACTTGGCTAGCACGTACGAGACCTTGGGTTCAATCCAGAGAACTGGAGGGGAAAAAAAAAAAGAATCATCCCAGATGTCTAAAATGCCCTTGTTTACCAATTTTTAATCATTGTCCTAGGGATAACTTTCTAGAAGATCAGGTTGACCCTTTTGGGAGTGTTATTCTTAGAACATGGAGATATTTTGACACAATATCCAAATAGCATATACCTGGTGGTGGCTGGCAGGTGACTTTGCTTTTTAGATAGAGTGTGGTGTTTTCCCTGAGTAAAGATAACCTGTAGAGAAAGATCTGTTTGGGGCACAAGCAAAGCAAAACACATTTGATTCCTAAAGGGACAGGTTAGCATAGCAAGAGAGTGACCTGGGCCCAAAATTCAGAATTTTCTAACAGTCACTCAGTCACCAAGCAGGGCCCTTTCAAAAACCTGTGACAACTTCCATTAAGTTAATACTCAATCTCCCAGGTCAGAATAAAGATGAAAAAGGTACAAATGAAACCTCTCTTACCTGTCCACACCACCCTCCCCAAACCTTGAAACTGGAAAGAAATTTGAGTTCACAAAAATAAGTCCCAGGTGGCTCAGAGCCCTTTTCAGCTAAAATGGAATAAAGCAGGCTCAAGAAGGACTCAAGGCACAAGAAGAGCTGGTTATTATTTTGCAAAAACTAAGGTCAAAGCCTTGTTAATAAGAGGAACATACTTGTATAAAACCAAATTGGTTGCTGGATTGTTGGGGAGCAGTAAAATTAATACTCGCTGCTGAGGCCTATTAGCCTCCAGTTGGCTCTGGAAGAAAGTAGTTAGAAGACAGCTGGGGATTAAAGTGTTCATCATCTCCCTCCTGCCAGCACCAGGGCCCAGAGAGTCTCCAGCAACCTCCGGTGGGAGCACTAAAGCCACACATGCAGAAGACACAGGCGTCTGACCCTCCATTCCTGTGTACAGGGGTGGAGCTTTTTAAAAGAAAGGGCTGACAATATTGAATATGGAGGTAAGAGGGACACTTTGAAAGGGACACCTGCAGGAGAGGTGAGCTGTGTTTTAAAATAAGATGTGCTATGAAAAGACCAATGCCTGGTCCTGTTCTCTTTGCTGTCATGGGCAGTGCCTAAGTACCCTGCCTGAGTCCCTTTAGAGACACAAGGCACAAGGCACAGTTGCTCTGAGTGTTGGCCGCTGATGGGTCCCAAATGCCAATGGGAGCCAACCTAGCTCAAACCAATCACTGGCTGACATGAGAGCAGGGTACAAAAGACTACCCTTGCCCAGGTGCCCAGAAACCAGTCAACTCTACAGTGCCAGTCATGCTTCCAAGCTCCCCACGAACACCTGGAGTTTAGCTTTGGCCCAGCCTGCCACCCTCCCCACTCTACCTCCAACCCCCTATATCACCTCCAGGAGAATCCCTTGACTTCCAGGGAACCAGACCCAAGACACTGGGAGGTAAGCTTCCATGACATTTTGGAGCATTTGGTAGATCCTGGGAAAAGAATTTCCAGTTTGAAGTCCTCAGCACTCCCTTGAGGATGAGTAGGCAGAGAGGACTCAGACACCAGCCCAGCCGGTGCCTCAAACACCAGAGATGAGGCTCATTTCCCTGTTCTGCCTCACACAGATGGCAGGAAGGACAGCTCAAGGAGGGGCCCTGCCTTCCTGGGTGATAGACTGACTTCTGTAAAGATCCTATAACAAAAGGTTGGTTTTACTAGCTCGTGGACACCCAGGTCCCAAGTTGGGAGCATGTCACCATTGGCAGGTGGAATCTCCCAGGCTACTGACAAAGCAGGAAGATTTATGTCAGATACCAAGTCTCTTTCAGCCAGGTGTTAACAGGGCTTCACACTGGTGCTGCCATCATGACACAAACTCTTTCCTTAGCACTTTTCAAGACTGTCCTTTACAGGTGGGGGTAGCTCCGTGGAAGAGTACTTGCCTAGCATGCACCAGGCCCTGAGTTCCATCCTCATCACCACCAAAAAATTTGTATGTATAATTAATTAATAATAATATATAATATGGGGACTGGGGATGTGGCAGTGTGAAGGATGGGTGTCCTTAGGCTGTCTGTCACAGTGCTGAGTTCAGGAGTTCCTGCCACTTCTCACTTCTGAAAATAATTGCAATTTAGGGGGCTGGAGATGTGGCTCAAGCGGTAGCGTGCTCGCCTGGCATGCGTGCTGCCCGGGTTCGATCCTCAGCACCACATACAAAGATGTTGTGTCCGCCGAAAACTAAAAAAAAAAAATAAATAAATATTTAAAATTCTCTCTCTCTCTAAAAAAAAAATAATAATATATAATATGAATAATATATAAGTTAGTTTCACAGTTAACAGGTCAGGAATGCAAAGCACACCTCTGTGACCTAACTGGCAGCAACTTGCTAGGCAAAGTACTGGATTCTTTGGAAAAGTAACTTCCTCAACAGCCAGAGAGTTGTAAAATAATGGTCAAAAACAGCACAAGAATTTTATTAAAACTCATAACACTGTGCTTCTCTTGTGCAGTTTTAAATTAGCTTTTTAAATGAGCTTTCATAAATCTTCACCAGGTCCATTGTGTTTCAGATGTTGAATTTAGGACAGTGTTCAAAGATTTTTATGGGGCCAGTTCTACGATTCCAATTCCAATTTACCATTTCTCCTTTTCTGACTTCCTTTTGGAGTTCACCAGCCTGAGTCCTTAAGGACCAAAAAACCAATGCATTAATCAAAGGAAAAATGTTCTGTTTCCCCCATTTAGAAATTCGTTGAAATATAGATGAAGTCCATCATGAACAGCAGGACGTTCTGAGAAAGCCATCAGCCTAAAATGCCTTCATGAATAACTATTATGTTAGAAGCTCAAAAGATCTTACATCTCAGCTAGATGAATAATCAAACCACCAATGAACACTGGGAAGCAAATGAACATAACACAGATCTATATGTTTTTCTCTGTTTATGTGAACATATGCAATATCTTTTCATTTTTACCACTGTAGTCACATTCAAGCAGCCTCTCCTGATATCGGCAACGTTCCTGACCCTAAGTTAAGGACTTTCGGGAAACTGAATTTGCTTCTTCGGAGTGCCAATGTGCTGTGTGAAATACAAAACGATGTTACCATGAAGTCAAAACCTTGCTTGACTTGTGAGAACTGCTGGTTTTGGCTTAGGGAAAGCTGAATCAATGTTGTCACAAATGCACATTATGGAAACATATTCCATGAATTCAACTAAGGGATCAATCAGTATTGCAAATAAGAAATTTAAAAAAAATTTTTTTAAGTTGGCCAGAACCAAGCTTTCAATCCCCCCATCTGCCAATCAGAAGTGCAAAGGAATGTTATCTGTATCCATCCTTCTTTAGCTACTATATATTGATACTTACTAAGCCCAACTATTTATAATTCTGAATTACTATAGGATGCTTACAGTTTTAAAAAATACAAATGCTAAATATTAAATATCATCAGTATATGCACACAGACTATAAATACACATAATCTTTGTATTTGTCTATCATTATTTAGCAATCAAACCAAACAGACTTCTTAAAAAATTTACCAATTATGAAATATCATTACTTCATATAAATAATTTCTCCAGCTCTATCTCATTTCATGAAAGCAGTCTTTTTCCCTAGCACAAAATGTACTTGGAAGGTACCTAAAATGAGTTGTTCTTGTGTAGATTACTACATTTTAAACACATAACAGAAAAAGAAAACTCGAAGCTAAATCCACTCCACCCAAATAAACAGAACTCCCTTCCTGGTCAAAGGAACAAGCAATGAGTACAAACCCAGAGAGCCACCAGCAGCACAGTTTTCTTTAAATTCGAGAGGTCTGCTGGGAAAGCACATGGAACATTTGTTATCCAGGAGAGGAATGAAACAGAAGCCTTCCCAGAAACAGTGATGTGTAAGAACTGGAGAGACCCAGGTTGCAATGCTGGCTGTGGGACTGACTGGTTCTGTGACCCTGAGCAAGTCAGGGAATATCGTCAGGCTGCCAACTCCTCAGGCATCAAGTTAGAACACTGGATTAAAAGATCTAAGGTTCATACCTATTCAAAATGCTAAGGGTTGGTTTGGTTTGGTTTTGGCACCAGAAATTGAACCCAGGGGTGCTTAATCATGAGCCATATCCCCATCTGTTTTTTTTTTTTAACTTTTCATTTTGACACAGGATCACCCTAAATTGCCTAGGTCCTTGCTAAATTGCTGAGGCTGGCTTTAAACTTGTGATCTTCTGGAGCTGCTGGGATTATAGGTATGCGTCACGGCACCCAAGTAAAAATGCGAAGATTTTTAAGACAATCTCTTTATTATCCGGATATTGCTGAAGCTCAGACACTGACCTTGACTCCAAAGACTATGTGATATTTGCCAGAAAATTTTTGCTTCATCATTTTGCAACACAATGGGATGAGTTGAAGGAAAAAGAAAAAAAAAAAAAAACAGGAAAGACACATCTCATGTGATAAGTGTGGGGTCCCCTGAAGTGACAGGAGACTCTCTATTTCATTAGTTCCCATGGGATGCTCAATATCTTTTATCTAACACAGAATGGACTTACTCATATCCTATCCCCAAAGCTGCACTATTATCCTGTGCTATTCTCTTGGGACCCATTATCAATTTGAATCAAGTAGGAAGATTCTAGTAGCATTTTCTAAACTTATCTTGTTTCTCATTTGAGGCATTTTAAGTAGCAGTGGAGGGTTCTGTTTTCGTACACACAGCAGAAGGCAAAAGGCAGGAGGAATTCAGGGCACTAGAACATGAATGAAGGCCGACCTCCACAGCAGAGTGCCTGGGCAAGAACACTGCCACCTTTCACAACTTACCACCTCCAACAAACAATGGCAACCCAGAGTCTGACAGGGAAGGTATGGAAAATCAATAAGCACTCACTTTGACAGACAATCCTGGGTGCAGAATACCTGCCACTGGTAATAAATCACTTCATTTAGGTTTATCTTTTTAGCAGAGCACGGTGGATTATACCCATACATCACTTCAACCTCTCTTTTCTGCCTTATTGACAAAGGACAAATTGAGAAGGATGGTGGGAAAGCTGAGAGAATGAAGGTAGGGGAAAAAAAGGAGTTCTGCTACCAGGCCTGTGCAGTAGAAAAAACAATAATGATAAAGCAATTATTTTTTCTTTCTAAGATGTTATTTGAAAAAAAAAATTCAAAACCATCTGAATTTACCAACGAAGTTACCATGGATTGGAAAATAAATGTAGCTTTCTTTTTAAACCCTGCAGGAAAAACATGCATCTTTATATATACATCACCCACACTCTGCTCTTCCACTGATGGGTGAGCTGATGGACCTCACTAATGACACTGCTTAGAAACAGGCCCCCTAAGAACCCTGAATCCCAGAACTCAATGTGGCAAGTGTAACTTCTGGTTCTGCAATAGGGAAGCAAACTAAGACGATATGAAGGCACTGGCAGGGCAGAGACCAAAATCCTCCCATTACAAACGCCTAGGAATACCAGATCAAATATAACCTGAAGAAGAAAGGAGAGAACAGTAAAATTGTGAAGTGGTCCTCAGACATTCTCTCTCTCTCTCTCTTTTTTTTTTTTTTTTTTTTTTTTTGGTACCAGGGATTGAACCTAGGGGTGCCTAACCACTTAGCCATATCCCCAGTCCTTTTTATTTTTGTATTTTGAGACTCAGTCTCGCCAAGTTGCTCAGGCCTTGCTAAGTTGCTGAGGCAGGCTTGAAACTTGCAATCTTCCTGCCTCAGCCTCCCATGCCACTAGGATTACAGGGGTGCAAGTGCAACCACTGCAACCAGTGTCCTGAGACTTTCCTGGTAAATGTCACACTTTCATTTTTATACACAAGCAGACAAAGGAAAAGAAATGCTGAGCCACCCTAAGGCAGGGAGTTAGACCTAAAATCATGAAAGGACTTGACCCTCTAAGGGTTGCTTCCTCGGTGAATAGAAAGAGTAAAGCGGAAAGTTTATCCCCTGGAACAGAGGACAATTTTGTGTCCTTGGACTCTATCTGGAAAAATAAAGTCCTCCCTTGAAAAATAGATCTGAGCCTTAAGCAAGATGATTTAGGATGCTCCAAACTAAGACATTAGCAGAAACATTGGCTCCAAGCTAGTGGCACTCTTAGGATCTCTAGACGAAGCAATACAAAGTGTTCTGGAAGGGTCCCACAATCAGACCTCATGAGATTCCCACAGAAAAAAAATAATCCCCACTAGAAATCATCTTAGAAGGAATTAAAAATTAGAATACACCATCAGCAGAAAACAGCAAATACAACAAAAATTATTCTTAAGGCAGGGAACTTAGAATAATAAAATAACAATTGGAAAAAGAATACAAAATAAGTATGTTCAAAACTATGAAACACAATGGCCAGGTGTGGTGGAGCACGCCTATAATCCCAATGACTCAGGAGACTGATGCAGGAGGATTGTTCTTGCAAGTTCAAAGCCATCCTCAGCAAAAACGAGGCACTAAGAGGCCCTGTCTCTAAATAAAATACAAAATAGGGATGGGGATGTGGCTCAGTGGTTAAGTGCCCCTGAGTTCAATTCCCAGTGCCAAAAAAAAAACAGAGAGAGAGACAAAAAAGGGGGAACTAAAATACAAAAAAAAAAAAAAGACAGAGCTGGGGCTGTAGCTCAGTGGTAGAGTGCTGGCCTTGCATGCGCGAGGCACTGGTTCGATCTTCAGTACCACATAAAAATAAATAAAGATATTGTGTCCATCTAAAACTCAAAAAATATTTTTTAAAAATGACAATAATAATTGATACAAAAATATGCATATATAATGAAAAATGTAATATGTGAAAAGAAACCAAATAATACTCCTAGAAATAAATACTGTGATCTCTGGAATTGCAAAGTCAATAGATAGGTTAAATACCAGATTAGACATAGATGAAGAGAAAATTGAGTAAAATGGAAGACAAATCTGAAGAAGTTACTCAAAAGGCATCAGACAAAAAAGTGTGAAATAGATAAATGACAGAAATAAAATAGATAAAAGAGAAATACATTAAAAGGAATGAAAGAATAGTTAAGGGCATAGAAAGTATAATGAGTAGGTCCATATACATAGTACAAGAACTAAATGATGAAAATGGGGATATTGTGTGAATCTGGGTTCTCCAAGAAGCAAATGCCAAGAGAAGATGTTAGGGAAACAGCTGTGAAGGAAGGAGGAGGAAGCAGGAGGAAGCAGGAGGAGGCAGGAAGAGC